ACATTCAATTAAAACCACTGATGAACAACGGGTATATAATAAAACCTATAGATACCCTTTTATACATAAAAAGGAAGTCGAATCACAGATGAAAAAAATGTTGGACCAAAAGACTACGTAAAACCAATTTCAAAATTCACTTGGATAAAAGTGAATTCCTCAGACGAGAAGTAGCATATTTAGGCCATATAGTGACACTAGAAGGAGTACGACCAAATCCGGACAAAATCAAAGCCATAAAAAATTACCCAATTCCAAAAACTACAAAACAAATCAAAGGCTTTCTCGGACTACTTGGATATTATAGCCGTTTTATAGATAATTTTGCAAAAATCACAAAACCACTCACGAAATGCTTGAAGAAAGGTGCAAAGATTGAACACAACAGAACCAAGAATTTATCGAATGTTTTGAAAATTGCAAAAAATCACTTGTAAATGAACCTATACTACAATACCCAAACTTTTCGGAGACATTTAATCTAACATGTGATGCTAGTAACGTAGCCCTAGATGTGCTATCACAAGGGCCCATTGGACAAGATTTGCCCATAGCCTACGCATCTCGCACCTTGAATGATTCAGAACAAAATTAATCCACTATTGAAAAGGAGTGCCTGTGTCTTATCTGGGCGACGAAGTACTTCCGACCCTACCTTTACGGACAAAAATTCAATATCATAACAGACCAGAAGCCCTTGCAATGGCTTTTCAATTATAAAGACCCCACATCGAAAATGGTACGTTGGCGAATGAAACTACAGGAGTTTGATTACCAAATTATTTATAAAAAAGGTAAACTCAATACAAATGCAGACGCCCTAAGCCGTATTGAATTACACACTTAAGAAACCGGCAATATATCGAATCTTGTATCATTGAAGAATTCAATAAGGAATTAGAGGAAGAAGCTAGAATGGAAAATAACCCAACGACCATTAAAGAGATTGAGAACCTAGACCAAATATCAACTATGGCGCAACCTGACCTCGAAGCAACAGCTGAAGACGATGATGAAACTATCCATACTAATGCTGAACAAGACCCTATTGTTGGAATTCCAATTGAAGAATCTGCTGTTAACTATGGAGCAAGTCAAATAATCGTCACAAAGGTCATGCACTCACCTGCCAAAACAAAACGACTAATTTTATTTGAAAAGAAGAGAAGATTTTTAGTTCAAATATCGGAAAATGATTTTGAAAATGATACAATTAATTTTATAAAAGAAAACGCTGTGCCAGGTAAATTATACTATGCTTATTTCAAGAACCCGGGTACATATGAACCATATTCTGCGAAGTGGTTAGGAAAAATATTAAATGGCCCTCGATTAGAATTAAAAGATGTTTGAAAAAATTAATCGACATAGTAGACAAACAAAGTATACTGGAAATAATACAGAACTACCATGAGAGTAAGACGAACCATCGCGAAATCGGGGAAACCGAAGTAGGTACGTTAAAGAAAAGTATTACTGGCCAAATCTTAGAGTCTATTCAGTCGTACATCAATGAATGCGAAATATGCCAACGAAGTAAATACGAACGGCAGCCACTAAACTTTGAAATGAATATTACACCCACGGCAACGAAACCTTTCGAAACTATTCACCTTGATACATAAAGGTACATTAGATAAAGTTAAATTTCTCACAATTATTGACAGTTTTTCCAAGTACGCACAAGCTTACGCCCTAAATTCATTGTCAGCCACCGAAATTAGCGATAATTTAATATCGTTCTTTTCACATCCCGGTGTTCCCTCCAAAATCAATTTAGATAACGGAACTGAATTCAAAAATACAGTGGTCACAGAACTATCACAACTTCATAAAATAAAAATTAATTTTTGCTCGCCCGAGCATCCCCAGTCAAACGGTGTTATTGAGAAATTACACTTCAGTTTATCCGAACACGTAAGAATTCTAAATAATCGTGGCTTCCTGAAGACACCTATTAGCCAAAAAATAAAATATGCAATCCTAGCATATAATCACACCATTCATTCGGTGACTAAATTCAAACCAATAGATGTTATTTCAGGACAATAATACGTGAAATAAATAAACTTCGCATAAAATCTAATAATATTACAAACATTCTTAATTGACATCAAGACTATTCTGAAGACATTAGCAATTACATAACTTTGTAGAAAATAACACAGAATAGACTTGATACAAAAATATCAGAAATTATTTCTCAGCCACAAAGAATTAAAAGAGGATTAATTAATGGCTTAGGCTGAATATTCAAATCTGTAACTGGAAACCTAGACGCATCTGACGGAGAACGTTACGAGCATATCATTAGGGAATTACAAGACAATCAAAATAGTTTACAAGAAAATGTTCTGACACAAAACTCACTTTCTCTAACAGTAATCGAAAAATTTAACCAAACTATTAAACAAATAAATCACAACGAAAAACTTCTAGAATCGAAAATTATCCAAATTGCACACATGGTAAAGAAGGCAGCATATAGAGAAAATTCCCTCTATATCAAAGACAATAAATCAAATAGTCAATTTCTATGACATAATTCACTCTATTTTACAAGATATAGAAAATTTCTTAACTTTTTCAAAATTGAAAATTATGCATCCACGTATAATAAAAACTGAAGACCTTTATCATGAATTAAACAAACTACAACAGCGTCTAAGTTCTGAACAAATGCCGCTAGCGGTCACTTTGGAAAATACATCACTTTTTGAAAAAATAATTGAACTTGAATCTTTTGTCTTTAATAATAGAATAACATACCTAATACATATACCAATAATGTATTCGGAAATTTTTGATTACTTTCATTTATACTCGGTTCCAATCCTTTCTTAGAGTCAGTTTAAGGTTGTCTTACCGCGAAATAAATTCTTGCTGAAAAATTAATTGCACTACATATACTATGGCCAAGAATGTCAAAAAATCATTCCGAAGTTCCATATTTGTGGCAAAGACACATTCACGACTACTCCACTCTGACAAAAATACCTCCACCTGCGAACCAACCGAAGTTGAAGTCCCATTAAAATTGTTGAATATCCTCAGCATTTTTTCTTGATAGAACTCTTATGCGAAACAAGCCCCATTTGTAACGGTATGTAATTATTTCTGACGTTAACACACTATTTGATGCCTGACACTCAGATTCTCAACCCTAAAATAGAGTGTGGTAACGTCAAAAATAACTACATAACTAGATCACCGAAATGCAGTAGTAAATAATGGGTTATTTTCCCTTTTTTATGCCCATTCCAACGAGCTATCACAATACATAATCTTTACATTTGAAAAAAAAAGTTGGAGGTGGTTTCTATCCTTAAAAAAGGGGTAAATTCCATGAAAAGGCCGAAAAATGTGCCAAACTAAAAATAAAGGGACCTTTTTTTTTATTTTTCCAGAAAATAAACAGGCTTTTTGATACCTACTAAATTTATTCCATTTCAAAATTCCACCCTGTATGTATACCTAGGTTTTGAATTGAATTTGTGCATCAAATAAATAAATAGGGGATATATTATGCCATTGATCTGTAATCTTTGAAAAACTAGTCTGGTTGCTTGTGTATGGGCGTGGCCATTTTTCAAAGGCAAAGTTCCAGGAGGATTTGGATGTTTTCAATCGTTTGATTTGTTTAATACCTATAAGGTAGATAAAAATAATATATTCCTGAAAGCGATAAAATATAAATAGGAAAATAGAAACCTATTTATTAAAATATTATAATGTATCCGGTGCTTTAGCATAGTTAAATTCAACTAGGTAAGTGCATAATTTTCATTGCACTGTTCAATTTATGAAATCAAAAGAAACCCTTGTAACGAAAAAATAAGTGCATAAAGGACAAAGTTCAAGAAGTAAGAAAAAATTAAATTTGATATCAGTACCCACCAAATTACGATTTTGGATATTTTTTTTTTTAGAATTTTGTGATAAAATTTGAACAAAATAGATCTGATGATGGATATCTCGGAAACGAAACGCGAGCAGAATTGGGATAAGCGAGTAAAAATATACCTTCCTACAAAAAATCTCCAAATTCGGAGAGGACAACGGATAATAAATAATTATGTACCTACCATTTTTAGAGTAGCGGTATACAGGGTGTCCCAGAATATGTGGGCAATCTCTCGGATTCAGATAGAACTCAAAAAAATAACATGACAACTTCCTATAAAAAAAACTTCCTACGGCCCCCCCTACGAAGTTACGTGCCCCTAAAGGACGCCTCTCAAAATACTTCGTGTATTTTTTTTTTTTAAATATGATGGATACTAGGTGAGACCCCTTAAAATGAACCCTCTCAAACACACTTGACCAGTCTAGTTTGCCAGGGACGGACTAGCTTTAACGCAATAATGACACTGAGGAAATATTAGTAGAAAGGGTTAATTTTCAATGTCGCGAATTAAGGGCTAATATTGAAGCATTGCCGAGAGTCGAACAATCTTTCATTAAAATTGGTATGAAATGCATAAGATTAGAAGGATCTCATATTTAGTCGACATAAAAAATGATTTAATAAAAAACCATTAATACACAAAAACAGATTTTCCTCGAAACCAGCTCATTTTTTTGACATCGAATAAGAGTACCTTTTTTCTAGTTCAAGGTTGAAACTATCTAAAAATATTATTGCTATGCCTATATCATACAGGGTGTAAAAAAAATTTAGCATTATTGTGTTAAAGCTAGTCCATCCCTGGCAAACTAGATTGGCCAAGTGTGTTTGAAAGGGTCCATTTTAAGGGGTCTTATCTAGTATCCGTTATATTAAAAGAAAAAAAAATTACACGAAGTATTTTGAAAGTTATCAACAAAAAAACCGATTTTCAGAGACGTCCTTTAGGGGCACGTAACTTCGTAGGGGGGGCCGTAGGAATTTTTTTTTATAGGAAGTTGTCATGTTATTTTTTTGTGTTCTATCTGAATCCGAGAGATTGCCCACATATTCTGGGACACCCTGTACATCCTCCTAATACCAAACACAATTCTTAAGTATCTAACATCCTTTATTATAATATGAATATTTTAATTTAATAAATAACAATTCGCTACTAAGTTTGACTAGAATAACAAAACCTATATATTATTTATACAACTAAATGAGATACATCCCAAGTATAACCCGGTAAATATCTGGGAACAGGTTGTGCTAGGGTCTCCTCAGTCCGTCTTTGCCTGATATCCGTATCTCCAGGCCAAGCTCTTTCTGGTCCACTCATTTGGCCCATTCTTTGAAATCTATCAACTACGTGCGATATGGTAACGGCTTCGTTAACACCGTTGGATTTGATCCGTCGTTGAGGTAAAGTTGAACAAGCTCGTAAAGTTTTGCGTTTCTGAAAAAATTACCAACAATAATTAGCCTTATTGTAAAATTTGCTAATACACTCTCATTTATCTCAGGATTCAAGTCAACGATACAGGCATAAACTACGGACGAATTGAAATTATTAGTAAATAGATGCCTTATAATTTGGATGTTAAATAGTTTTCTTCTTGAAGCGAGCTGAAAAAATCTCCTTAAGTATGATATAAGCCCAATCAATTGTATCTACAATAATTTTACCACGTAGTCAAATGGAAATATTTTTTGCAAACTTATGCCCAATGCTCGCAGTTTGTGAAACACTTAAAATTATTAGTCCTGGGCTGGCTCAGGTTTTCAAATGCTTATTTTATTAATACGGAATCTATACTATTATTGTCCTAAATTCAGCAATATTGATGTAAGTAAATAGCGAAACAATTACATGTTAGATGTCATAAAAATGTTTCAATTGGCCAGATTTTCACAATGGGTACCTAATTGACAAATTTTTGTGTTACCACTCAGGCAAGACTTTGCTAAAGTCAACGGTACAATTCTTTCCATCGAAAACATGTTTTCGTCGAAACATGTTTTTTTGTCCGATGTTTAGTAAAGAAATTTGGTTTTTATAATAATTGTTTTGGCTCTGATCGCACCTATGCTTCTTACTTCTCTCAATAATTGTGCAGCACAGAGTCCATGGCATCTTTTACCAATGATTTCAAATCCAACATTGGAAATTAACATTTTTTGGATACCTAATTTTAAAGGAAATTCTACAGGTCCTGATCGAAGAAATAGTGTCAATGGTTTACTTATGGCATTTAGATTTCCTTTGCAAAATAAATAAACACATGAAGTTTAGAGGATTTGGCACCTATGTAGACATAGCCTTTGATATATTCATTCTAATATCGAAAATCAAATAATTCTATGTGCAAAAACCTTATTTAATGCAAAAAAGGTGAAATTCTAACAAAAATTGTAGAAAAACAGAAAGATAATGGGAATTCAAACACCCTATTATTCAAGAAAATCAAAAAATCAAATAAATTCCTGTGCAGAAACTTTATTTAATATAAAAAAAGGTAAAATTGTTGTAGAACTTGAACCTTTTTTTGTATTAAATAAAGCTTTTGCACAAGGCTTCTTCGATTTTCCTAAATAAGGTGATTCAAATTTCATTATCTTTCAGATTCTCTGCAATTTTTGTTAGAATCTAACGTTTTTTTTTTTGCATTAAATAAATTTTTTACACATGGACGCTCATTTATTTTTTATCATATTTCTTTTTTTATATACAGGGTGGTCCATTTAACTTGAGACAGTCTTTTTTGAAAAAAAAAGTTGACAGATCCAAAAATCGTTGCTATAATTTTCTTTCCCCTGTGACACATACATACAAGAAAATGCAGACTAACCCAAATTAACCAGTCTGCATAGGTCGTCTAGTACTCGTAAGTTTTCATTTCGTTTAAAAAACAAAGTTAATTAAGTTTAGTGTAGCATCCCTTGAACTGGCTATATTTTTCAAATAAAATGCCAACTTACGAAAACTAGATCGCACAAGGCGGTTTAGGTAAGTCTGCATTGTATTGATTGGCCCTCAATATATAAACAAAAGAAATTTGAAACAATAAACGAAAACTTAACTACCAAACTAACCAAACCTTGTACCTACATTTGTGACAAATCGTTTGAAAAAATCAATAATTATTTTCGTTGAAGTGGGCGGCTATCAACACATAAAAAAAAATGGATAACTCTGGAAAACACGCAATCAAACATTCCAACAGGATTAACAAACAATATCAAACAACCATCAATAGTAGAAAAAGTGACAAACTTTAATTTGGGGGGGCTAAGTCTACAGAGGTGGATTTTGCAACTAAATAATATGTAGGTACTCATATTAATTTACTTTAACATGATTCCTGGTTTGAGTATTGAATCTGAAAATCTCCTAAATTTTCTTGAGTCAAGCGTGAGTGCATTTGTAAGACTTTGTACATTTGTATAAATATATAGGTATTCTCTATTGTTTAACGCTCCAACAATGCTCCAATAAATACTTTAAAAGGTGTATAAATTGGCCTATGGTGCTCAATATTCAATAGATCATCATGCATAGTTTTGTTTTAAAATAAATAGTGTTTTCTATGCTATTAAAATAAATTGTGGTCTAAAATAAATAAACGTATGAAATGAAATAAGGCTTGAATATGTTTGAGTAAGTATAGGCACAAATATTAACATCTGTGTTTAGAGTATGTAGGTATAAAATGGAGTATGAATTTCAATAATGCAAAATATTTGAAAATAAAAATGCAAGCGAAATGCTTTTGCCAAAAAAATCCAATCAAATTAAAATTATTCCAGATATTCAAATATCTCAAAAATAAGCATTAGCAATAATTAGCAAACCAAATCAGCTGTTGAATGCTCACATATAATTTTTTCGCACCAAAATCCCATATGGCAAACTAGTGTTTTCTATCCTAGAAAATGAAAATTAAACTAAATACATCGTCTTTGGAATATGTTATTTTTTGTTTGTTTTTAAATTCCAAATACTGCTAAGCCATGTTTTTAACTTCAAGCTTTTTGTAGTCTCGAAAATTTTTACCTCAACACATCCTCTCCACTTATCAGCAGCATGCCTGGCCAGCTCCATCCTTTTCTGTTTTTTCATTTGATGTTTCTTATAAACCATTTCAATCACTATCAACCCCATACCACCTATAATACCTGCTCCCACAAGAATAAATACGCCTGCCATGTTCTTGAGACCCAAAGTATTTGGGGTTTTCTCAAATTGTTCGCATTGCTGAGTATTGCCTTGGAGAATCCATTTGTTATCCAGGCTTTCCATAAAACCACCTGGAAGGACATTAAAATTATTAGCAGCTGTAATAGACAGAAATTAAGAAACTTTACCTTCGTGAAAGTCCAAAATCGCCAATGTGATGTCATCCGACCAGGGTGATCCCTTTTGTAACCCTATTCCATATCCTGATCTACCAAAAAGTTCTCCTGCGGTTACTAATTCACAATCTTGAGCTGCTTCAAATTCTAAGCGAGAACTGTCCCATATAAATGCCATAAGATTACTAAAAATAGTTCGAGCCTATTCAAATGCTAGAAATAAAGAAAATATTACCCAGCTTTGACATCAGAAATAGCTTTTTCAGCAGTTTCATAATTATTAGCCTCCATCGTTCTGTACATATTTGACAATTCCACTTGTCTACGAAAATACATATCTACTGCTGAACCTTTTACTGTAGCACAAGTAAGATTTTCCATGGTGTTCCTTAACTAGAAAACATAGGTACGTATGCAACTAAATTATGAAAAACCATTATTACAGTAGTTGTTTGATTAAGTACCTATGGTTTAATTTGGGTAAGTTTAGATTCTGTACTGTACTAATTCAATCAACGGTTGTACTTACCCTGGCATCATTTATACCAGTAAGTTTAGTTTTTGGTCGTTCCAGTACAAGAAAGGCAGCAAGGTTAGCAGTGTATGATGCTACAATGATCATGGCAAATCCAGCCCATACCATACCAAGAACTCTTGCAGAAAAACTCCTTGGGGTGCCTACAAATTGAACATTGTTATTTCAGACCATAAAGTCACTTTCTAAGAATAGGTACCTTCTCCAATTCCACTATTAAGTAAAACACCCCAAGCAAACCAAATTGCACTGGAAAGATTTAAAGCATCTTCTTCAGTTCCATCTGTATTAGCTAACTTAAACCTGCCAAACGGGGAAAATCTGTCCAGTAAATATAAAACCAACGCTACAACATGAACAGAAACCATAACTAGTATCCAAAGGGTGTTACTGAAGGGTTGCAAAAATGAGACCAAGGTTGATGATCTTGATGGCTGAGAAAATAAATCTTATTGTCAATGTATAACAAATTAACTTATATAATCTAACCTTTTTTTCTAAAATAGTGATGCCTTGATATTTAAAAGGTTTGCTAAATTCAATAAATTCTGCTCTTTCAGGATTAATAGTTAATGGCGCTACTATCAGATCAGCTCTTTCTTGAACCAATTCTCCAATAAGGCCATTCCATTCTTTCTTTCCTGTACCTGAACTGTTACGTAATGCATAGTTACCGAATTGCCCATCTGGTGAAAGGGCTAGGCTGTAGGTAAAGTTGATTTTTTTGGATAGTTCTTTCAATAAATCCATGCAGTAGCCTTTACAACAGTATTTTGCTGTGACTGAAACATAAAATTATTAATTCATGAAGCTTTTTTTTTCTTTACTTGGAGTCTGGAAAAGCTATATTGTAGTGAAACATAATATGTGACTTTTTCAAAAAAAAAAATCGATTTTTTTGTGGCCTTACCTAATTAGATAGGTACCATTACGAAAAATTTGTGAATAACCATTCACATTAATTTACACCTCCTACTTTGATCAACAGAGTAAAAATTTCCAGAAAAGGCAATGTTTGATTTTTTTGCCAAAAAAAATTTGGAAATATTCATAAAGACTAGTTTCTACATGAAACCTGATACCATATACCACATAGTCAAGTGGATTTACATTGTCCGGTATCGGATTAAATTCCAGGAAAGGATACATACATACATAATATACCGACCACGGTATTTAATTCGACTATTGAAATAATAATAACAATAATAATGATAATAATAAGTTGCTGCCCATTTTCATTGGAATGCTTCACAACTCAGAAAGAAGCAGAAAAAATCACTAGATACAGGGACCTGGAGACAGAGATTCGGAGAGTGTGGAAAACAAAAACTTAGTCCCAATAATAATAGCAGCAGCCGGGACAATCTCTGAAAGCTGTATAAAAGCCATTAAGGAGATACCTGATGGAGTGCACAGGATAATATAACTCTGCGGAAAACAACGATTCTTAGGACAAAGTCCACATAATCTCATAATCAGGAAAGTCATCGGTTTAAATTGCCAGTAAATACCCTAGAAATATGGTTTCCGGTAACTTACTTAGCGGAAAACTGCACCAATCAGAGGCGAGATATCAACATGGATATTATATTGAATAATAATAATAATAATAATAATAATAATAATAATAATAATAATAATAATATTAATAATAACAATAATAAGTGTGGTTCTGCCTTAGGAGTACCTACCCTCCTCCTGTACTTCTCGGAGAACATATTCTTATTCAAGTGCGTGTGGTCGATACGTTGGTTCTGAGGCATTCCTAAATACTTGTATGTATCTTCGGGCTGCAAGTTCTCGATACCCTGCAATTGGTCCTTTTGTATTTCCACGACGCTCCTCTTTATGTTGATGATAGCGCATTTGTCAAGTCCAAACGACAAGCTAATGTCCCCGCTGAAGGTCCTTACGGTGTTTATTAGAGAGTGCAGTCCACTCTGGTTGTCTGCGAAGAGTTTCAGGTCATCCATGTACAGAAGATGTAATAACCTCCGCCTGTTCCTGATGTTAATTCTGTACCTAATGTTCGTGTCGTTAGAGGGTTCAAAGCTAGGCACAACCACACTTATTATTATTATTATTAATATTATTTTTATTATTATTATTATTCAATATAATATCCATGTTGATATCTCCCCTCTCTCTCGCAGAGAACCAGACTGGACTGCACTCTCTAATAAACACCGTAAAGACCTTCAGCGGGTACATTAGCTTGTCGTTTGGACTTGACAAATGCGCTATCATCAACATAAAGAGGGGCGTCGTGGAAAGACAAAAGGACCAATTCCAGGATATTGAGAAGTTGCAACCCGAAGATACATACAAGTATTTAGGAATGCCTCAGAATCAACGTATATCGACTACACGCACCTGAAGAATATGTTCTCCGAGAAGTACAAGAGGAGGGTACTCAAGGTTCTGAATACCAAGCTCTCTGCTAAGAACCAGATCACCGCTCTGAACATCTGGGCAGTTCCAGTCTTGGACCTACACACTTCGGTGTCCTGAAATGGTCTGATGCAGATCTTAATGAATTTGATAGGCTAACCCGGCGACTGATTAACTTCGATGTCTGCACAGCAATGCATCGGTTAAGAGGCTCTATCTGCCACGAGCAAGCGGTGGTCGTGGAATGGCGAACATCTAAAAGTTATGCAGAACTCGGGAGAAAAACATGCGGCAACAATTACTCAGATCCGAAGATACTCTGATGAGAATAGCAGCCCAAGAATGCCGAGGGTATACACCGTTGAACCTACAACACCGTGATCTCGAGTTCGAAATAGACTCAAGGCAGGAAAATCAAGCCTCCTGAATAGAACAAGGCTTGTTGGCACAGGATTATTCTTCCCAGAAACAGAGAGATTTTTCATGGCCATCCAGGACAGAGTTATTTTATTCAAACATGTCCACCGTATTACAAATACAAGCCCCAAGCAGTGTTAGAAACAGACAGAACGGTATTATATTGGGACAGGCCTATAACAACGGATAGGACAGTCGACTACGACAGACCGGACATCATCATCATCGACATAGCTGTTTCGCTATCCCATAACGACAGGAGAACTGAGGCAGAAAAAGTCACGAAGTATGGAAACATCTGGCAGCTAACTAAAGTTTCCACAATCCCATTGGTCCTTGGAAAGCTTCAGTATTTACATTGGATTATCCCAGAACATCATAGGATATGCGCAGAAGGTTATACTCCAGACTTGGCATATAACATGCAAATTCCTGAACGGAACCAGATTGCCTCATCCTTAGTCATCAGGCTAAATGGTTGCCAGTGAATGCTGAGACAGGGCGAAAAATATTAATATTGATAATAAATCCCGCACGGGGAGTAGCTAGATTTCGGTCTGGTTGCTTTGCAGTATGACGTCCCCATGGGTCCGAGTTACCTGGCAGCAGGGCGAAAATGTTGTATCCCCTGCGTTAAAGGGTTAAACCATGAAAATGGTGAGAACGTCTGGCCTCGGAAAAAAAGCCGCTACCTAGGGGAAAACTCCAGGGCTCTCTTGGAGCCATTGCTAAGGGTGACAGCTCACGGTACAATGGCGGCAAAACGTTGAACTTCTGTCGATAAAATGGATCTGAAATAATTGTTGATGGAAGCTACCTATTTAGATCAGTGAGTTTATTCCTATATGGCCATCAGAAGCACCACAAGTAACTTAGACAAGACTCCCTGAAATACTTTCAACAAAACTGGTTGGAGCTCCAGGACTACGTACCAGTCGAGGACGATACTGTGCCCATATTGCGAAAACATCAACATATGGGACAAGCCTTGAGATACTTGCGCTATCTGAATCACTGAATCTGAACTTTCATATCTATAACATAAACGGCGAACGAAAACGACGGAAGTTAATATAAAAGAAGAACCAACAAAAATAAACAAAACAGAGCACGACAAGACCATCCACCTAATATTGTTTGGAATTCCTGAGAGCGGCCCTTTGAATTACTCACACCACAAACAGAAAAGACCGATACAGCTGAGAGAGGACACCTAGTTCCAGACGAGCGACGCGATGGTTAACTGCGTCGTGGAAACAGATCTGACGAAAGTAACGAAGACCAGGCTACGAATCCAGAAACTGCCCTAAGTGCTTTGCTGACACAACCAGCAACCACCAAGGCAGGACGAATCCGACAACGCTTGACATGGAATGATGAAATGAACCGCACAGTCATGCGTTGCTACTATCAGTCAACTCAACTCGAGGGAATAAAAACGGGAGCTTCACAGAGTTTTTACCATAAAATACCCCGATCTTGCTGTAACTATCACAGAGCAAAGATTATATTAGAACAGAAACGTGTAGGAGGTATTAAAAAACCTATGCAAGACGGAGCATTAAAGAAGAGGTCGCAAAAGAACTTAGAGATCAAGAAGAAATAGACGAACAAGAACAGCTAGGTATGCATACCGCAAGCAATAAATAAATCGGAACCCCCGTCACAAACACCACAACCAAACAGCTCAGGTGAACAGAAGAAAGAAGCGAATAATTAACCAAAAAACATATACGAAGCCAAACAAAAACTGACAGACAAAATGGAGCAACATTTAGCAATATGAAGAGGCAGTGACCCTATACCAGGAGAAGCTTGTTACCTAGACTACCCTTTAAACAAAACACAAAATTACTAAAAAAAGATTTTTTAAGTAAATTTGTATACTCATATATTTCCACTAACAAAATTACTCATAAACATCATAAATAAATTTCGAAATATAAATATAGACGACGGAAGCACACTGAAAGATATTCACACGGTAATATAGGTATGCAGGAGCGTCAGCAATATTAACATGTAAAAAGCAGGAAACCATAGAACAAGGCAACACGAAATCAAATCTAAGAAACATACATATAAAAACTATAGACTTAGAGCAGACATAGGAAGAGTAATACAGTATTTAAATAGAAATAAATCAAGGAAAATAGCGAAAACCAACAAAGAATGCTTTATGAGACCACTAAGAAAGTATTTCCCTAATATAAAACATTCCACATCTATGGTTAAAATAGACAAAAAAAAATAAACACCGTTAAATCTAGCGAAACAGGAATATCAAAATAAACACAATTTTACCGAAAAATTAATGCCAATCAAAAGCAAATAAGTAAAAAATTAACCTAGGTATGTGTTCGTAGAAAAACGCCAATTATACCCTGAAACATAGGGTTTTGTTCTAGCAATACAGGTCATAGCAACTAAAAACTATAGAAAATATTTTCTAAAAGATAGCTCTATCACAAACGATAAATGCCGAAAATGCCACCTATTTCCCGAAACGTTCGAATATATTACGTCAGGATGTGAACTTAGGCATATTTTGGATAAATTATTTTGTGAAGTTCTACCAATATTATTTCAAAACTTACTGTCATGTGTCTCATTAAAATGCGGACAAGGAATTTCGTCAGGTTCGCAAGAGCCTACTCCTTCCAATTTCCTAACGTAGACAAAAGGTTTTTCCTCTATTGTCAATACTTTTAGGTGGGTGGGGATCATAAAACCTTCAGGCTTCACGTTCTTTCTTCCTGGCCAAATTATTATTTTTTCGTCGACGCTCAAGTGCATTTTATTGGTTTCCTGGAAATAATAAACAAACACATTAGTTAACAGCCTTTTAGGCATTTTTGTGTCCCTGTATACCCTATTGAAAAAGTGTCGTCCGACAACAACCTTCTTTCTTTTCCGTTGCACGTTTACGATGTTATATTCTGCATTTATTCTATCACCTTGATCGTCAAAAGCCACCTTTCCAGTTTCTCCATTGATCAAAACTTGTTTTCTTATAAAATTGAATAGGTCTTTTCCAGTTTCCCAAATAGAACCTGAATTGTCACAATCTTTAGGTGCTGCTGTTATTTCTTTGGTTTGATTCATGTCTCTTAAAGCTGACGCCAGAACATAACTAATTTTTTTAAAATTATTACTAATAATTACATAGTTCATTAATTACGTACATGCTATCTCGTATATGTGCCTTTTCATTCGTAGCGTTAACCAATTTTAATCCCAAAATTCCTTCGGGGACATTATCAGCATCCAATGCTTGTTCTGTCACTATCCAGGCATATCCAGCGTCTGTCATATTTAAGGTTGCAGCATCTCTGAATATAACTTTAGCATCATTTTTGCTAAAAAATATTACTTCATAAAAGAAGAGGGCAGGTACCAAGATACGCTGAAGCGCGAATGAATATATCCAAATATATCCCTATATCCCAGATATTTTATTCAAATTCCCCGTCATGTGAATGGAAGAGCCGCGATATACGTAAGTACTAAGTATATTACATATAAGTGGGTATGTTAGTAGGTAACACATAAGAGATATCACTAGAGTAACCTTAGGGTTACTCTAGCACGAAAAGTCCAATACGTTTTTAGGATCACAAAATCCCCATAAGTACTGGAGACGTTCTTAAAACGTTTCTAAAGCTATCGTTGACGACGTTTGAAAGAGGTTTCTTGTAGGTCCGGAAAAGAACGTTTCATAGTAAGTCATAAAATTCTATCTAAACTATGTATTTTCTCGTTAAAAGTCCTAAAGTCTGCCGTCTTCACTTACTTTGCATAAAGAAGGTACACTCTGGCTTGTGCAAGTTTCATTTCATGAAGTTGTTCACTGAAACTATCTAAACCGGTTTCAAACTCAATTACAGTCTCCACCTATAAACAATCCTTCTTGAATTTTTTTTATCCTAAAACCAATTCAGTAGACACGTTTACCTGAACTTTAATCTCTATATCATCCTCTAGGCTTTGCGAGGTTGTCTGGAATCTTCCCAAAAGCGCCCTGCCATCAGTATCAGAACTGTGGATAAATATTATCTTTTTATAGTTGAAATATTTCAACATTTCCACCCAAACGTCTGCTTGATGAGAATATGGTGGGACTGTTCTCAAAAAGGACACATGGATATTCTGAAAATAATTATTTAATATAATCTTAATTTTCAAATTTTAATTTGGACGTAAAACCTTATCGGAAAATGCAGAATCCCTCGAAGATATTCCAATAACTGGAATGTGATAAAATCCACTTGTATATGAAACGGCAGCTGGAGAAAGTTCTCCAGTTACTGGATGGGATACAACCACCGCATAAACCTAAAAGAAGTTACTTAGAATACAATTTTTGAAAATAATGGAATATGTGTATACCCACCTGTTTTGATATTAAATATTTGCAAACATTTAATGCAGTTCTAATGGGATTAGGATCAATTAATATGGCTGTGTTGTAATAAGTCACGCCTTTTGGTACAAAGGATGAATCAAAATTGAGATGCTAGAAAAAATAAATGCTTTAATAAAGGTAACTTTTAACCAATTTCCAAAGATTCTACATAAAGCTGTTGAAAACTCAATGACAGGTTGCACTGAAAGACGTCTGTTTAAAATCAGCTAAAATTAATTTCGGCTAATAAATTGAGTTAGAGCAAGCAGAAAGAATATTGGTAGAATCAATGAGTTAGGTACTATAGTCCATTCAGTGTGAACGCAGTAGAAGGAATAATTTCCATGAACCAATTTGTGAGGTGAGAGATTTGACTTTCTGGGATGAAAGTAATGCAGTGGAGAGTGCCATCTACAAAACTTGCCAAGAAGCCCATGGCCATACCATCTGGCAGTTCTGGAGAAAAAAAATTAGAAGGTTAGTTCTCGACATTTCGGTGAAGATCAAATATACCGAATTCGAATGATTTCGGTGAACCTTAACGCCGATTCTCATCTGAGCAGCGCGACGCGACGCAGCACGTCTTTGAACTAGGATTACTGAACTGGAACGGTGCCGACCATGAAAAAACAGCAGTAGAAATGGACCAAAAAAACAAGTGAGAGAAGATGTGGTTGTTTTAATTTCTGTTAGATACTCATGTTACAATTAATGGAATAAAAGGAAATAGGCAACAAGGCTGGTAGGAGTTTTGTCTTTGTTACACTATTTTTACTGAGTGCAATGTATTTGCCTCAAATGCTGATCAAGCAATATCCATTTCAGGTAGCTGCGTATATAGTATAAGGTTCAATGCCTAAAACTTCACCCTGTCAAGATGCGCAACTTTCTCTTCTACGTCTACACCTCCACTCAGATCCATAACGATTCAATCTATTATTCTCCATCTCTCTACTATGCCACCAGAACTCCGCCTTCTAGAACCGTGTCTTTGGAAATAATGTCCGCCAAATGTTCTTCGTTAAATTCGTTATCGCATCTATATGCCTGTCAAATGAATCCTCTGTAAGGCCTTTCTGCTCACCCAGATCTATCCTCACGGCTGCGTGTGATTTTTCTTCCGATGAAATAATGTCACTGGAACTAGAAGAATGGCTACCTAGGTTCGTTGTTGACTTCCGTGCTGCCGTTCGCGCCTGAGCGAACGGTCGTAGCTCTATTTCAATTCATAGAAATCTGTACAGCGTCTGTTTGTAGGTTAATATTGACCTTCTGGATCAGCAGTCTTATCTTAACCAGCGCAATATAATTCTGATAAGAAGCTGACGGTAGGTCAAGGCAGTGCTTAGATCAAGCCTGTAGCGATGTCATCAGAGCTTCAACTATTAGGCATTGCAACAGTATCGAATTGACGCCTGCATATCGCCCACGATGTCTGTTACTGTGTTGTACGTATGGTGGTGGTTCATCTCAATCCAAGTTCCATCTTCCTCGCGAACAGTTCCAAATTCCTGACGAACACTCCCAATTTCTACACGTACCTAATTCTTCCATTGCATTCTTTACTTCATTATCTTGCCCTCCCAAATTTTTCTCTAGCATGGTTTGTTTCTCAGAGTACCCAAGGTTTAAGTCCATTACCGCTGAAATCAAAAACTTGCCTGAAGCCGATCCCGTTTTTTTTTTTTTTTTTTCGGGCTTCTTCTTCTTGCTTTTTTTTGTCTTTGGGCTTCCTCTTTTTGTCTTTCTTTCTATTTTCCATCCGTCTCGTCTTGTTCCCCTTTCGATTTCCCATCTTCTACTTTTGCTGTTGTAAAAGTTTTTCGGGCCTTTTCTTCGTGCTTTTCTTTCTGTCTTTGGGCATCCTGTTTCTGCCTGCTTTTCTGTCTTCGAGCTCCCTCTTCGTGTCTCTCTTCCTGTTTCCGGTCTTCCTGTGGTAAAAGTACTGCAAGCCGGTGCTGTTCTTCTTGTTTCTTGTATATATCAGATTTTTCATGAAGTCTACCAAAACTTGATTAACTTGCTTCATTTTGCTATCGTATATTGACCATTAATAGTTATTTATGTCATTAGGCCAAGAAGTGAGTCTACAATCTAGCGAAGCACAAAAATACCTTCTGGGCCGAATGGCATGCAACATTTTATCTTCAAGCGACTGCAATATTACCTTCCACAACTATGATATAGGACTTTGTTCTATTTTTAATTGCTTATTTACTTAATGTCAAAATGATAAAATGTCACTTCTATAACTCACTGCTATTAGATGGCGTCCCTGGTGTCCGGAGCACTTCCTTTCTAAATAATAACAGAGCTACTTGAACTAGAGACAATCAAATTAAATATGGGAATTTGTGACTTAATCTAGCCTCAACGTCAGAACAAAAAACGTACCAACTACTCACGACCATAGAGTATGAACCGATTGGATCAACAACATTGGATAGTAGTGTAGTCAAACTAGCAGATTTTGGGGAGTAAGGTGGAACAAATTGAAGACAAATGTTTAATGGTGGGCAAGTTTTGAAAAATTGCCACCATTGTGAATTTTTCAAGTTTTTGGATTTATTTCCAAAGCATCCGGGTTTTTAGTTAGGTACATTCTTTAAATGTATTTTTTTTCGATTTTTTGGAAGATTCTCTGTACTTTGTATCCAGGTTACAAAGTTTAAAGTTTGATTTAATTATGTTATCCAAAAAATCCATGCCATATTGTTTAAGACACTGACATGACTATAAATCGGTCAATAAATGAATGCCTACTAATAAGATATCATTACAATTATTAATCATGAATGGGAATCTCTATGGTGAAATCCGGACACAAGAAAAAACGAGCGAGTCTGCTAGTCTTTTTCACATGCAACAATTTCTGTTGAGATGTTCTTTTTTTTATTTTCAAAGATCTCGGATGTTTCTGTCTCAAGAATCTCTCTGGTGGATTTGTTGTTTGGTTTCTGATTCTCAAATATTTCTGTTGAATGTTTTCTCATTCTCAACAATCTCTGGTGAATTTATTGGTCTGGTTTCTCGTTCTCAAAGATGTCTGTTGAGTTGGTTGGCATTCTTGAGAATCTGTTATTAGTTTTTCATTTTTTTCATTCTGAAGAATCTCTGTTGAATCTGTCGTAGTTCCCCATTCTCAGAGAATACAAATCTCTGCTGAATAAGGCTAGTTTGTTTATCATTTGCAAAAATATCTGATGAGCTGTTATTCATTTTCACATATTTCTGTTGAATGTTTCTCATCCTCAAGAATCTTTGATAAATTCGTTGTTTGGTTTCTGATTCTCAAATATTTTGATTGAATGTTTTCTCATTCTCAAGAATTTTTGATGAATTTATTGGTGTGATTTCTCATTCTCAAAGATGTCTGTTTTGATAGCCATTTTTAAAATTTGTTATTAGTTTTTCATTATTGCATTCTGAAGAATCTCTCTTGAATCTGTCGTAGTTGAACGTAGTTCCCCATTCCCAAAGGATAAAAATCTCTGTTGTCTCATTCTCCAGAATTTCTGGTAAATTTACTGCGTTGTTTCTCATTCTGAAAGATATGTCTATTGAATGTCATTCTTTGAGAATCTGTCATTAAATTTTCATTTTTTCATTCTGAAAAATGTCTGTTGAATCTGTCGTAGTTTCCCATTCTCAAAAAATTAAAATCTCTGTTGAATCTGATGGCTAGTTTGTTTTTCATTTGCAAAAATATCTGATGAGCTGTTATTTATTTTCACAGATTTCTGTTGAATTTTTCTAATTCTCAAGAATCTTTGATAAATCCGTTGTTTGGTTTCTGATTCTCAAATATTTCGATTGAATGTTTTCTCATTCTCAAGAGTTTTTGGTGAATTTATTGGTGAGGTTTCTCATTCTCAAAAATGTCTGTTGAGTTGGTTGGCATTCTTGAGAATCAATTATTACTTTTTAATTTTTTTCATTCTAAAGAATCTCTGTTGAATGTTTCGTAGTTCCCCATTCTCAAAGAATACAAATCTCTGTTGAATCTGGCTAGCTTGTTTTTTATTTGCAATAATAACTGTTGAGCTGTTTTTCATTTTTAAAGATCTTTGTTAAATGTTTCTCATTCTCAAGAAAACCTTGGCAGATTTGTAGTTTGGTTTCTGTTTTTCAAATATTTCGGTTGAATGTTTTCTCATATTTCTCATTCTCAAGAATTTCTGGTAAATTTACTGCGTGGTTTCTCATTCTCGAAGATATGTCTGTTGAATTGGTTGTCATTCTTTGAGAATCTGTCATTAGTTTTTCATTTTTTCGCTCTGAAGAATCTCTGTTGAATATGTACGTAGTATCCCATCCTCAAAAAATGAAAATCTCTGTTGACTGATCTGGCTTGTTTGTTTTTCATTTGCAAAAATATTTCCAAGAATATTTGATAGATATGTTGTTTGGTTTCTGATTCTCTCAGATATTTCGGTTGAATGTTTTCTCATTTTCAAGAATTTCTGGTGAATTTATTGTGTAGTTTCTCATTCTCAAAAATGTCTGTGGAGTTGGTTGTCATTCTTGAGAATCTGTCTTGTACTTTTTCATTCTTAAGAATCGTTGAATCTGCCAGCTGCTTCCTAGTTACAAAAGTATGGTTCTCTTTTTTATTTATCATTTGCTTGCGCTTACTACTTTAAGGCCCGGTTTATTCAACTTCTGATAAACTATTAGATAATGCAATCTGACGGATAAAAATTGGCCAGTTATCCGCCGACCAAGAGAATTATATGAAATTCAGAATATACAATTCAACTCACAATAGCTTTGAAGTGAACGAACCCAACTAAAAAACAACTCATACTCAATACAAAAATGAAGAAGACGAGGAAGCTCTAATTTTATCTTAAATATTAAAATTATTTAAAGAGTGTTAATTTTAGTGGCATGCAGACGCAATTAAAATTATTGTTTTTTTTTTTGATGAAATTATTTAACGTTTTCAACTGAAAATGCTCGTAACAACGATGACATTTATTGAACTATTTTTTTTCTGATTTCTCAAAAAATTGAGACTCGTTAGGATACTTATGTACAAAAATATCAACAAAATCATAAAGAATCAAAGGGTGGCCATTTTTTTCTAACTTGCCATTTCAATATTTTATGCGACTTCTAGTATGTCATTAATGACCATAAAAACAATACATTTTTGTTGAAAAACCCTTGCCTTTAATTTGTTCCACCCTAACTGCCAATTTGACCACACAATAGTTCTTGAACACTTGAACTGTCAAACATCCGAAACAAATTTTGATCGGAACTCCCGTTTCTAGTTTAAGAACATAACTAGTCCTTAATTTAGACCCACTTTCATTTTTTTAATATAATAACTTCAAAACCAATGAGCGCAAATTATGACTGAATTATGCTTTTGAGAACTTGGTCGTTAACGCTGCCATGTAAAGAGAAAGATACGCAAAATGAATTGCAAGAACATAATAGCGCTGATTGGCGCTGCTATCTCTAGCGAGAAAAAATCGAAAAATTACCCCATACATATGCATAAAGATTTTGATGGCCCTATGAACATAATGGATCACTTCTGTGTCGAGTAATGACGACAATAAAGCTCAAATTATGGACCGCTTCGAGATAAAACTCTGTATATTTCCCGGAATTAGATTTTAGATGTAAAGTTCTACGGCGAAGCCAAAATTCTCGTGCCTTGTCTAATTTTCAAATAGAGCACGATGGAATATTCTAGGAATAATTTAGAAAAGTCACTCTGTGGACTTGTTTTTCGATGTCACAACCAGCAACAATGCCACTTTTTCAGTTCAACAAAAGTTCACCTATTATTGGTCCCACTAATTAGCCAAATTAATCCTAGCAATTTCACTATTATGTAGCTCAAATTAATAGGTACCCTGTTTCCCTGATTATCCCCATCTAGCTCAATATAATCCACTAGTTATCTCGTCAATTATTAAGCTTAAATTAGTACATCTATTGAGATGCTAATTACTTTACTTCTGACACCAAATTGTCACGAATTCGGCTGTTTCACTAACTCTATTTACTGACAAAAACTTTTATTGAAGTGATCGAATCTACAAAATGCACTTTATACAAAAATTCTCTCATGTAATCTGACTTATGAACTACGCACTTTATATACAAAAATATATAATCGGGGAAGCTTGTTAATTTAAATCACACTATAATGGGACTACTGAGTAATCGGGTTCGTTGCCGGCCTTAGGTACTGGATCAATGCAATTTCGTAATAATAGATATAAGGGCTATGAGGTGTGGTACATGATACATACCTATGTATTTTACGTAGAATCAAGAAATGAAACATAAACTAGGCAGTTCCATTCAAAAAAATCGAATACCTACCTACATACTTTTTTGGGTCAACCTGAATAGGTACACCCAATAAAAATCTAACCAAGCCCTGTTATAAAGGGTGTTCATTTTAAAACTTACGACCCCTATTATCTCGGAGTTGAAATTTTTTTGAAGAAGTCCCTGAAATACGTCTACTAAAATTTGAAGGGGGATGAGTTTTAATGCAAAATTCACCTCCCCCTTTCAACCCCCAACCCTCAGAGTCACCCCATAGAAAATCATCTGGAATGGGAAGCGGGGTCAACTCATAGGTTCATCATTTTGGAGGGTTTTTAATTCCATGTAAGTCCAAGTGAATTCAAAAAATCTAGGTAGTACCAAAATGTATTATTCAAATGTGGAAACCGCGATAACACAGTAGCGGTGGGTATGTGAAATACCGTAGATAAAACCGTAGCCCGCTCTAACAAATTATGCCGTAAAGATTTTTCTGATTTTAATGAATTAAAAGTAAATGTTTGCTGATACATATTTTTTTTACAGTACAAAAAAACACACAAATGAAGTTACACGACCCAAACTAACCCAAGTCTAAAACCTAAAATAAAAATGTGTATGTTAACGAACAGGTAAATATCTATTAGAAATAATATACAAAGTGACAATTTGAAAAGTAGCAATCGGGAATATCTCTTAGACAAAAAAATACTATCAGGAAGATCTCCAATACGTATCGGGATATTTTAGGGGGAACCAAAATGAGGCACCTTTTGAGTCACCCCGCCTCACCCCTTAGGGGGTAGCTACCGCAACTTATTTTTTTTAAATACGAACCTTCCTTGTGTTGCACATAAACAGTCTCGAATACACATCGGCGAAACCAAATAATGTATTTATCGTAATTCTATCTGCTTCTGCACCTCTAGACCAAAGACGAATAAAAAACCTTTCAAAAAAGCTATCTATCCCACGGAGTAGGTTCTCATTTTAGAAAAAAATTTAGGAGACAAGACAAGAGGGGATGGGGTTAGGCAATATTCACATTTTTTTGTCTAAGAGATTGTCAAAATTACTAGTTTCCAAAATATGCTCACTTTTAAACACCGATATCTCAAAAACTAATCGTTCGATTTAAGATTTTGCTATATGACTGTGAAGGAATAGCAACGAGCTATCGAACGATGTGCAACACAAGGTAGGCTCGTATTAAAAGAAAAATAGGTTTGGGCAGCTACCCCCTAACGGGTGAGGCGGGGTGACTCAAAAAATGCCTCATTTTGGTTCCCCCTCCAATTCCCCGATACGTATTTGAGATCTTTCTGATAGTATTTTTAGTCTAAGAGATATTCCCAATTGCTACTTTTCAAATTGTCACCCTGTATGTATTACCTGATAATAAAATTGAAAACTTTTAAAAAAGAAAATACATTTTCCACATCGCTCAGTTCGAATGAAATTTTTGTTTTCCAACAGTTGAATTAGATTTGTCGAAACCAGATGACGAACAACTTTGATCAACTGAGTGCGACAGATTTTGAAAGTGTTTTCCGAAAGTCAAAGTCACTTTGGATGAAGTTGTAGAGGTAAATATATTCAATTAGACACCAAGTTTTGCACGAAATACAAAACTCTGTGTCTAATTGGCTACTCGACGTGCACACAGCATTCAACCCCAAAACTAAATACCTACATATAGGGTGTTCATTTCAAAACTTACCACCCCTATTATCTCGGAGTTGAAACATTTTCGAAAAAATCTCTGAAACACGTCAACAATACTTTGAAGGGGGATGAGTTTCTATGCAAAATTCACCTCCCTCCTTTCAACCCCTCAGCCCCCAGAGCCACCTCCTAGAAAATCTCAAACGGGAAGGGGGCACATCATTTTGGAGGGTTTTTAATTCCATACATTTTGGTACTAAATTTCAATACCTAAGTTCAACTGTTTTGGAAATATTGGCAGTTGAAAATTGACTTCTTTGCAACTTTGATAGGCTGTAAAACCTAAACGGTTAATTTTAGAGGAAAACCGATCTCACATTGTTGTCTTGGATTTTCATAAACTTCATTCAAAAAATAATTTGACACCAACTTTGAATTTAACCGGGGATTAAATTTAATTGGAATTTTCAATCATGGATTAAATTCAAATTTGGTGTCAAATGATAGTTTATGAAAATCTTAGTCAAGAATCTAACATCGGTTTTCCTCTAAAATTAGTATCCGTTTAGGTTTTACAGCCTGTCAAAGTTGCAAAAAAAGCAATTTTCAACTGTCAATCAGAGCTGGGATCGTTACTTGAAAAAAGTAACGCGTTACTTTACAGTCACTTTTGCTTAAAAATAACTCGTTACTTAAAATTTACAGTTACTTTCGAATAATGATAACTTTATTTTCGTTACTTATTGGAAAGTAACGCGTTACTGTAACTTCGTTACTTTGAAAGTAACTTCTTTACTTTAAAAGTAGTTCGTTACTTTTAAAGTAACGCGTTACTTCAAAAATTAATATTTACGTCGAAAATTGCCTATTCCCTAATTTGACTCACCAACACAGCAGTCCAAACAATCAAATAAGACCTATACGAAATGCCAATATGTTTTTAGTTTGTGAGTCCGAATATGTGGAAGAGTATTCTTGCAAAATTCAAACGGATTAAGGATTAAGCGACTGAATAGCGTACCTACTTGATTTTGGACAAACCTGCTCTTTGAAGTGTCCCAGTGAAAACGATGATTTTGAGCTTTCAAAAGAAATTTTCTGGTACTACCAACATTTTATTCGACGTACAATGTTTTTGGATTACTTATTTTCCTTTTCCTCACTCGTCAATTATTTGTAAAGAAGATAAACAAATTGAGAGAACGAGTAACTTTCATAGTAACTAGTAACGCGTTACTTACAGCGTTACTTCAGAAAAGTAACGTCGTTACAGTTACTTATCAATCAATCTGAAAAGTAACGAAGTTACCAAGTAACGCGTTACTTTCAGTAACTCGTTAAAATAAAGTAACTTTTTTTTGTCGTTACTCCCAGCTCTGCTGTCAATATTTCCAAAACAGTTGAACTTAGGTAGGTATTAAAACTTAGCACCAAAATGTATGGAATTAAAAACCCTCCAAAATGATGTATCACTTAACTCCCTTCCCATTTAAGATTTTCTAAGGGGTGGCTCTGGGGGCTGGAAGGTTGAAAGGGGGAAGGTGAATTTTGCATAGAAACTTATCTCGTTTTTAATTATAGTTGACGTGTTTTTTCGAAAAATTTTCAACTCCAAGATAATAGGGGTGGTAAGTTTTAAAATGAACACCCTCTATATTGTTACAGTCGATAAAATAAGCATTACGACACGGAAAAAAAATGGCGTGCATTTTCGAAGGTCCCGAAAGTGTCAGCAACAAATTTGAACTTTACAAGAAAATATTATCGTCTCGACACTCTTAACGTAACATACTTTTTCCATAAAGTTTCATTTGTAGTATACGAAGGGTTTCCTGGATATTTGAACTTTCTGCAGAAATAACCGATTACCCAAATATCAATTGTTAATAATTTTATTACAATAGAATTCTAAGATTAAGTTTGATTTCGAAACGTATTCTCTAAAGATATAAATTACTGAATCTTACATCAATTGTTTCCTTAAAAAGAGCTTTACTATCATTATTGCTCAAAACGCCACCGATATTAAAGGTAGTCGGATTAGGATCCCTTTCACGTTCACAATTTGTTTCTAAGAACACCTCAGAAATCACAAAGAGTTTTAAAAAAATTGAAATGTTTATTTTGAATTTCATTTTTCCCGAAAAAACGCGAAATGAAAACGCTGAGGCAACCGGTAAATATCTAGAGAGGAATAACTGAGGATCGCCATCCCCAGTTGACGCCCGCACAGGATTGGATTAGAAAATGGCTTTCATTTTACCAAAAATATTTCTTTCATTTGTACAAAAAAAAATAAAAGATGGACTTGGAATACAAAATGTAAGGCTTTCATTATTTCACCTAAATAATTTATTTTCAATGAAAATATTTTTTTACAATTTTTTTTAATTGGAAGCTATTTCTGTTTTTTTTCATTTGGTATCCTTGAGATATTTAGCAAAATCGCTTTTTTGATCTGTTCAAATTCTACAAGACTTTTAAAGAAATTGCAGAACATGCAGAACAATGATGTGTTATTAGTGGATGTTCCATTAAAAGCTGAAAACTAGTCGGTTTCGAAATTTATTATTCTTTAAAATTCTTTGAAAATTAGTAACAAATTATAATAAAGACTAAGTATAAAAGACACCATAGTTCAAATTTTATCCTCCGCTCCATCCCTGGCATTTCTATAGCAACCCTCTAAGCAGATATTGATTTTACCCAGTTTCAGATTTTGGACCCACCTCAATTTATTTCTCATCTGGATCTCGGAAATAGTTTAATTATTGTTTTTTTGTTGAATTTATAGCAACCAAGCGTTTTAAGTACAGCATAAATACAGTTTAATTCAAATCATTTAATTTGTGTTGTGCTTAGTAATTTATATGTTGTTTTCTTAATACAATGCTGTAATACCTACTAATATTGGACTACTCCAACGAGTTGAAATTCTTGAAATAAAGATTAAATCAAATACCTTAATACCTACTTAGAATTAAGTACAATTTTTTTTAAACATTGAAAAAAATGACGTGATAAGAAGAAAATACATAGGTAGGCTCCTATAATAACAAACAAACATCACAAAACTACTATTTTGTCTACTATCGAATATGAATGCTACCGATATTTGATCATAGGTCGATTTGAAATGTCGACCAACTAAATATTGCCGTCATTTTTGAAGTGCTTCTCAAGAGAGTAGGTAAGCTTCCTTTTCAACTGGAGAGTATTTACTAGAAAAAAGAGTTTTTTTATGAAAGAAGGTAATATGAGGAAAGAGTTGCAGCAATAGCATGTTCAGATGCATCAGTTTCTACAATAAATGAAATATTCTCATCTATTGCTGCCACAACAGAGTTAGCAACATCGTTTCATGAATTCATTAAGGGGGCATGTTTAGTAAATGGAGGAATCAGAAAAGTTTTCCATTTTACTATTCAGAAAAACTAGGATTCCACCTCCAAAAAGACGAAGCACCTTTCGCATTGATTCCAAATTTTGTGGTGCTAGATATTATACTAAATCTTTGATTCGGTCAGGATCTGGTTTCATTGCTTTATTTTCGATAAATTTTTATCAATTTAGTGTTAAAATCACTCTGATTTGAATTAATAGTTAGACTGTAGATGTACTTCCACAGCAGTTGAAAATCTTGATGAGCTAATATTAATATTAAGCTCCTGTTGATCTCTTCCACAGTTACATCATCCAGACATGCGTCAACTCCGTTCAGCTTTTCCAATGCAATGATGAAATCCATAGTGCATTGAAAACGATCAACACCATTTGTCACACCACATGAGATTGAGTTGACCATCTGCTTCAAAAGCAGTGCATTTTGTTTTATTTTCCAAAATTGGTATTTGATGATAAGCGCTTCTTAAATCAATTCTACCAAATATTTGGAATTTAGCAATATTAGCTACAATGTTCTCAATATTGGGTGAAGGATAAGCATCATCCAAGCAAGAAAATAGATAATAGTTTGGGAATAATCAACAACAAACTTGAGCTCTCTTATCTTTTGATTGTTTTCTCGATTTGGTAGCAATGGGATGGCTATCTTCAGGCAGGTTAATAAATAAAATTGGTGGCTCTACTTTTGCTTCTGGAAAAACACAAATGAATAAAGGCGATTAAGTTCCACCAAAATGCCTCTTAAGCATAGAATTTGGTGTTAAAATACCATGGCCGATTATGATATCCGCAATTAAATCTGGTAGAATGGATACCTTGACGATGATGGATACCTTGATGATGCTTTGGTATTTATTTTGATTTATAATCATAGTTACTATACAATTTCCTGACAGTTCTAGGCTTAGAGATGTTTTTGCCATAGATATTCGAGCTTGAGTGGCTTATGTTTGTGTTTTATTTCTTTTTGGTCGACTACAGGCTGTGTTATTGCATCCACTCAATTTTCTCTATTCATAGGATCCATACCTCACCTTGTCGAGGGTCACCAGCCATCATGAGTGGAATTCCTGTGCAGACTTGATGACGGAAAGTATCGACGACATCGACAATAATTGAACTTCAATAGGCGGATGATAACTTCGTGATGGCCATTACAGAGGAAGATCTCCAGGCAATTATCAATGCATTCAAACGGGCTTACAGAAGAATCGGCCTAGAGGTCAACTTTAACAAGACGCAGATTCTGCGTCAACCCGCACCGGATACTAATCCCCAAGCCCAAAATATAACTATAAATGAGCATTATTTGCAGAACGTAGAACACTACCCATACCTTGGGAGCCATCTGTCAGCGAATGCAATCATTGACGCAGAAATTCAACATCGCCGCTGACGTGTACTAGCGCGACTTCTAAAGAGAGTCTTCAACAATCAGTAATCAGCTACATCAGCAACATCAACGCTGAGACCAAACTTCGCGTCTACAATGCAGGTGAAATACCAACACTTACATATGGCTGCGAAGCATGGACCACCTGCAGAAGACACATCAAAAGCCTAGAAAAATACCACCAGCGCTGCCTAAGCAGGATCCTACTAATTAAATGGCAGGACCGACGAACGAACATCAGTGTTTTAGAGGAGGCCAAAACAACTAGCATGGAAGCCCTCATTATTAAGCACCAACTTCGATAGACCGGTCACCTCGTCCGCATGCCCGAAATACTTCTTCCAAGACAGATTCTCTTATTTCTCTTCAGTCAACTGAAAGAGGTAAATCGAAATCAGGGAGTCAACAAAAACGCTACAAGGATATTCTTGATGGGAAGAACATGGTAGAGTATGCCGCATCCATACCAGTAACTGGGAAACGACGGAACATGACAGGCCCTCATTACGTCGAGTAGTCCACGATGAACCAAAAACTTCCGAAGAACAGCGACGCAGACACGAGACTGAGTGTGTCAAGACTGAGGAAGAGTGTACGGCTCCAGTATTGATTTATGTATAGACATCAGAAAACGCTCAATCGGCGACAATAAAAATAGAATAGAAGATAATCGTACTCGATATCGAGTGATCGCCTATGATGATGATGAATTTTATCAATTATTTCAAACATTGTGGAACTGCAGCTATTACACCACACGATGGTGTTATTACTTTTGAAACATTACCTAAGTTTTTTCTTACAATATTTGCAGAGATGGTATTTCTTTTACAGGACTAAGTATAACGAGGGTGTCCATGATTTCCACAAAAGTTGCATCTCATCTCAGCACTAGCAACGATTTCAAAAGATATATAGCTGATTTCGGAATTTGTAGCTTCTCCAAATAAGTATCGTACGTACTAGATTTGGAATTTTGATGAAAATTTAGATACCTATACATTTCTGATTGTTTTTGAGCGAATTCTAGTGAAGGTGCTCGATCAATTTCAGTGATCAAACAGTGAATTATTTTCCAGTAATTCTTGACGGGATTTGCTTTGAACTTAGACCATGATCTTTGGCAGTTGTATTTTGTATTAATATATTTTATAAGCGTTGAAGTTAAGTTACGGTATTCTGTTGCATGTCTGTACGCACCTTAACAGAACTCATCAACAATCGCTGAAAATTACTGCGCTTTTTTCAACCAGATATAAATTTAGCAGGATAAACCTAACAAATAAATATCCTTTTTTCTTCTTGACGTCTTGCATAATCCTCACAAACGACATATTACAAAAAAAATTGTTTGTTTTCCCAAAAGTAACAAACCACAGGGTAACGCCTCCAAGATGAAATAATGAAAAAAAATTAAATATAGGTACGCCTCGTATCGATATACTACGAAATCGGAAAACCCCACATTTTATAGTTCTCGTGTGTGATTTAAATACGTGCTGCTTATCCAGGCATACACATGCAGTCACTAATAAAACTCATTTTCGTTTGCAATTTTAACTTTTTTGTTAACTGGTACGACTCAAATAGTATACGTGAATTTTGAGGTATCCTCACTAATGACTATTGCTATGTTTTAAATGAGAAAGACAACATAAGTGTTATAGTGATCGATGCGCGCTTTTCAGTATAATGGGACAAGTGATGATATTTTTTATGATTGGTAAGTCATAAGAAACTTTCATTATAAACTTGGTGCTACAAATCCATGAAAACCGAAAGGCTTCGCATTTGCAAGGATTTTCTAAAAACACCTAGAATTTTGTCTCTTCAGGTTTATTTGTCTGCCTATAAAGTAAAGTATCTATTTCTTATTTTACGCAGCTTTGTCATGCATCATATTGATGTGCTTCAATGAGGAACGATAAATTCTAGAAATGCTGGTAGTTTGCATCAGCCTGAATAGGTATAATCACTTAATTTTGGGTGTAGTGAAAAAATAAGAAATTGATTCGTTTCGAATTCAGTTGAAAAATCTGATCTTGATAAATAATCGATTGTACTACGGGCATTTGAACTTTAACTTCAGATTAACGGAAAAAAAGTTCTCTTTTCTCAAAAGTCCGATTAGCTAGAGATAATTTCCAGTATTGCGTCTTTCATTGAAATTTACAAAAGTTATTTTTGCTGGCTAAATCAGCAGATCAGACTGGATAGTTGAGACTTCTTCTAGATGAGATACTTTAATTCGTTACCGGTGCGGCGCAATGCAGCACCAGCTATTCGGCATAGTGTTATGAAAATAGATTCTAGAAGACGCTAACTTCGTCGTCCTGTAAAAAAATCTGAAACTGGGCAAGCAAACACGACGCTATTAGTCGAATGCCCCTAATACGTTCGTGTAAATACTTCTCAAATTTTCATCGAATTG